TCCCCCCCCCGCCCCCCCCCCCCTTTTTTTTTTTTTTTAGGTCCTGGAAGTGATGGGATCATGGTAATCTGGAAGGACAACTTTGATTCCCTTTACAGTGAAGTGGCTGAGCTTGGCAGGTGTGTTTTCTGTGCTGATCTCCAAAGTTGTCTATGTCAAAATATTAATTTCTCATTCAAAAAAATGAAATTCTCTTTGAAAAATACTTACCATATGAACCTAAAAGGCCAGAATTACATTGGATTAAATAGAAATGAGGAAGTGCAAATCTTACCCGCACTAGATGGCACTGCATAAACAGAACATATTTAGGCTGAAGTGGTATCATAGCTTAAGGGATGTGTGTTTTTCAAATACTTTGGAAGGCTACGCAGTCTTTTTTTTAAGCATGCCTTACAATGACCGACACTGCTTCTGTAGTGAAGCTCTCCTAAACCTTTTTATTTAGGGTATGAGAACTACAGGCAGAAAAGTATGAAAATGAGCAAAATGCAAAATAAGTCACATAGAATACTCGTTTCTTCAACTTAATGATGACCTTTGAAAGCTGGATGCTGCTCTGACTTGAGTTCTGTGCAAATGTGATACAACAGTTCTCTTATCAGGAGCTAATTATTTATACAGACAGGTTTTGTAGAAGATGCATGTACTTAAAACTCTTGTTTATGTCCAGAAACTGCTCTGTAAGGGTAGCTTATTAGAGATCTAAAATTAGATCTCTCTCAGGATATCTTACAAGGTAAAAGGTATGTCCTTAGTGCATCTCTCTGTTAATTCTTTCCTTTCGATATTATATTCCAGGGGCAGATTTTCTGTCGTTAAGAAGTGTGACCAGAAGGGAACCAAGCGAGCAGTAGCCACTAAGTTTGTGAATAAGAAGTTGATGAAGCGAGACCAGGTTACCCATGAACTTGGAGTCATGCAGAATCTCCAGCATCCCCAGCTCATTGGCCTTCTCGATACCTTTGAGACCTCCACCAACTACATACTAGTGTTAGAAATGTGTGTGGACCATAACGTTATCTGTAAAATACAACCTGTGCAGCTGACTTTCCAGGGCTTTTATAGTGGTTTATGAATAAGGAACTTTAAGGTTTCACAGAAGCTTGAAGACACCTAAATAAAAGATCGCAGGTGTCTAATGCTGTTATTAGAATGTTGAGTTTAATAATATACTCAGAAGGAAATAAGTTGATATATTAAACTGATATGTAGGTCGTTATCTTAGTTTGAAGGTCCAGAAATTATTTTATATCAAGCAGTTATGAATTCCTCAGTGAATGAGGAATGTTGTGATCTGATAGCTTGATATCAAATCTCCTTTTCATACACTAGTCCTCTGTCTTCTAGGTGCTGCAGGCTATGGTTATTCCTGTAGTCTATGGCAGGACATATCTGGTCTTTCAAGTCTGGCTAAAACTACAGTATTTCTTCCTTTCCTTCTGTGCCTTCACCCTCTGCTCCCACTTCAGAATTGTAGGTGCGGGTCAGGTGTAAGTGACAGAACGTTTCCACAGATGAACAAGCCAAACATCAGAAACAGTGATTACTTGATGCAGTTGTAGTTTTTAAGGGACGCTTGCCTTAAGCATTTTTTAATATAACTTTCAAGACTTACGTTTTCCTTTCAGTTCTGATATCTAAATTAAAACAAAATATAACCCTTGTAATTCCAATAGGGCTGACCAGGGTCGCCTTCTAGACTATGTCGTGCGATGGGGAAACCTCACAGAAGGGAAGATCAGACTCTACCTGGGAGAGATTCTGGAAGCTGTGCAGTATCTTCACAACTGCAGAATAGCACATTTGGACCTAAAGGTGAGGAGTGAATGGCATTCCTGGCAGTGTGTGCTATTCCAGGCATAAACCCCTCCCTCTTCTAGGAAACTGGCAGATCAGAGCATAGAACTGTGAATTGCTTTGAGACTGTATGAAGAAGAGTATGGGGCGGGGCTCCATCCCTAAATGCTTTAGATCACTCATAGCCAGCAAAGCAGAAACCTTGAATTCCCTGTGTTTTCTCCTTAAAGCTTGCTGGCCATGTGTGTTCCTTTTCGCTGGAAATAATTGCTGATAGGAACAGTTTTGTTTGATTTTTTTTTATTATTTATTTATTTTCTGAGGAACTTGCAGCAGAAATCCATTTCTTTCTCAAGAAGCATAGAGTTTGTTGTGAAAGAGATTGCTTTTCCTCTGTTCTTGCAAATCTGTTTCTCATCACTGCATTTTGAGGGTTGTGGTATCTGTGTGAATAGTACCTGTTGGTTCTCTGTTCTACCCTGTGAATTTTACTTGAGCCACAAGGATTTGATGCATTCTGGTAGGAAAAGCTATATAAGAAGGTCTTAAGGTGAATAGTAATTAAAAACTTATTCTTTATACTCTTATTTTCCACCTGTATTTGAATAATAAGGAATTTGAGCATTGAAAAGTCATCTTTGTAGGCAGGGTTTCTTTAGCCAAAAGGGGTCATGGTGAGAAAAAGAAAAAAGAGCTGGCATCTTCCCTCCACATACTTCTGTTTTCTAAGCAAACCAGTCTGGTCTGCGTATCATGGAGACCCAACATTTAAAGTTTTCTAGTGCTATATGGAGTTCACCAGTACTTTTTCCAGTCTTAAAAACTAGTTGTAGGTAAGTCACTCTTATTTTGCTAAGATTACAGCCACAGCAGCAGTAGCTTCAGAAATAAAACCATAAAAATAATTCCACTTTCAGCTCACCAATCATGGGCAGTTCTCTTGAAGCCATGTGCATCCAACAGGATCGGCTGGTGCCATAGTCTCATGACAGTGTTTGACTTCCATCCGTACAGCTGCGTTACGTTAAAGTATCACCAAGTAAAGCTGAATTCTGTTGAAAGCATGATGAAAATTCTGACAAGATCTTCCAATCTTTAAATGGAAGGGTTTTGGTGTCTCTCTGTCATAAAGCAAATAGAGCGGTTGCTTTATTCACCCTCTATTTGTAATTGCTGTTCTTTAAGCTTAAGTTCCCACACACGGGTTCCTGTGAAACTTTGCAGAGCTGTTACTGTGAACATTTGCAGTATTATCTGGCAGAACTATATTCCCTGCAAAAATTATAGTGCCAGCAGCTGAAACACGTTCATTGCACACTGTAGTTGGCAAGAGACTGCCTGCCGGTTGGTCTGGGGGAAGCCTTGGTAGGACTGCCTTGGAGCTTTACAGAGCTGGCCTTCAACAGTAATCCTCGTAGCTTGTAGCTGTTTGTTATGTTCTTGAGCTGACAGCACCGGCTGGGAAGCAGTAATGTTGGAGCATTAAATGTGTTTTAGACTGACTTGAAAAAAGACATTTTAACGTTTGCTTTTATGTTTTCTAGCCTGAAAATATTTTGGTGGACCAGAGTTCCACTAAGCCAACAATAAAACTGGCTGACTTTGGAGACGCAGTCCAGCTCAATACCACGTATTATATCCACCAGTTACTTGGAAACCCAGAGTTTGCAGCTCCTGAAATTATTCTTGGAAATCCTGTTTCCCTCACTTCAGATGTTTGGAGCATTGGAGTGCTCACATATGTCCTTCTTAGTGGCGTCTCTCCTTTCCTGGATGAAAGCGTAGAGGAAACTTGCCTGAATATTTGCCGCTTAGACTTTAGTTTCCCAGATGACTACTTCAAAGGAGTTAGCCAGAAGGCCAAAGATTTTGTATGCTTCCTACTTCAGGATGACCCAGCTAAGCGTCCCTCAGCTGCACTGGCCCTCCAGGAGCAATGGCTGCAGCTGGGGAATAGCAAAAGTGCTGACAGCATTGACATATCCAGACTGACTTCGTTCATTGAGCGGCGAAAACACCAGAATGATGTTCGACCCATCCGTAGCATTAAAAACTTCTTACAGAGCAGGCTCTTGCCAAGAGTTTGACCTTGCTTGAAGTTCTCTCTCATTCTCTTTCACCTGCCAATCAGACTGGAGATGGACTCCTCCTGCCAATCGATCAGACTGGAGATAGACTCCTCCTGCCAATCAGCTGTTGACTTGAATTTTGAGGAAAGCAAACCCCGAGCCAACCAGCTGCTAGCGAATGTTCGTGTGCAAACGCATTCCAGGGGGACCCACGCGGGGTGGCGCGGGGGACTGGCAATGCAGACTTCACTGGGGTGGAGGACGATAGCACTGTACTCTGCAAAAAGCAGTCACGAGCGATACAGTAACAGTATTTTATTCAGGTTTCTGCAAAAAAAATAAAAATAGTTTTTTTAATAAACAAGAGTTGAATTTTGCAAGTGAACTTAACTACCGTTTTCAAGATTTATTCAAGGAAGAAATGCCTATGTTCAAAGCACTGGTGTTAAACAAAAATGAAATCATGCCTGGAGAAGACTCACCAAAATGGCTGCCCATTGATACGGCCTCCATTTATAACATCTGGTTTTCACTTGGTCCTAGAGCTTTCCAGTTGGCTCGCCTGTATGTATCTCACGTAGCAGTGCACTGAGATCAGACTCTGCTTTTAAGTGCATCCAACCTCAAAGTTTTTGCATACAAATAGAATGAATCGTTTTGCTCTGATAAAATGTAGGCCTTACTTGTATATAGACTGTTACCTGCCTTCGGTCTGTAATTCCCCCCCCTGCCCCTTATCCTTTTTTTTCCCCTCCTTCCTAAATGGTGGTATACCACTGTGCGGGTCTTCAGTTTGGGTCAGTATTCGCTGTCCCCTTAGAAAAGGACTTCGGGTTGGTGCCCAGCTTGCCGACCCAATTGTCAAGCAGTATACAGCAGGATGAAATACTGTAAATGCACTCATTTGGGATTTTGTTTTCTTTCATATCATGTGCAATGTTGTGGCTTTAACATTTTATGCAACTATTTATGAGGACCTCTGTTGTAACTGTAATAAATATATAGAAAAAGCACATACTTAGTACGGCGAGCTTTATGGTTTTGTTTGTGTGTTTGGGGTTTCTGGGTGGGCAGGGGCGGGTGTGTTGTACCACACTGTCATTATTAGGTTAAGATGAGGGTTAGCATAGAATTTAGTCCAGACTAGTCAGTTTTAAGGATTGTTTAAAAAAAAAAGACAGATTCGTATCCCAAATCTCAAACTGGTTAAGAAGTAGGGTGACGCTTTTTAAAATTATTATTATATTCAAAATGCCAAAGTCTGACTTTCCCAAAATCAGTCTCAACACTTACTACTTTTTAGAATTTTCAGATCTGTGTTTACTTCTTTCTGTGAAATGAACAAATGAATTTTGTGCTCTTTGGTGAAGAATACATTCAGAAAGTAGTGGTCAGATGAGGAGAATCTGACACATAATGTAATTGTCTTAGTAACTGTTTTTAAGGTTGAAGTACTATTAACGTGAGCTATTTAAGAAGACAGAGATGGTTTTCTGTGCATCACTAAGTTCATATGGGTGTGTTGTCATCTATGTTTGTGTCAAATGCCATGTTTAAAGAAACCAAGCCGACACCCCACAATAGTTAGATATATGGGTCTTAAGCCATAACCTAGCCTGGGTTAGTTTTGAGCTTTGCGGCTTCCACTGTATTCTATTTATTCCTTTTTTGTTTTGGGGGTTTTTTTTGTAAAGTTGTACAGAAGCTTTTTAAAAGAAAACAACTGACTTCGAAACTGGATGTGTATTCGTACCAACCTCATATCATTATGTTTGTGTATTATTTTCCTTTATTGTTTTAGTTAAATTTTTGCTTTATTTTGCATGTATATTTCTTTGTACAGTGACGTTACATGTTTACACAGTATGACGTGATGTAAATATTTTATTTTGCCATCAGTTATTTTGAAAAAAAATTAAACATATTTGACATATTTGTCTGATCTCTTGCTTTAAGGAGTTTGAAAGTTTAGGTTTGGTTATATTTTAATTGGGCTCTGTACTTAAAAAGAAAAAAAGTACGTTATTTTATTGCCATAAAATTCACTTTAAATTGCAATGATGTATCTTTCTTTCATGCCTTACAAAATAATATTTGCCTTTGCTCTAAGTGTTGAGTGCTTTGTAGTGTCATGATTGCTTTTATATAAAACATGCATAACTCTAACTGTGGAAATTCATTACAGTCTTTATTAGCTAGTAAATTTTGACCAGCTGAGTTTTCTACCAGATGTTCCCAGTTAAAGACTGAAGGATCGTATTTCAGTTTAATATTAAACTGGGGAACGGATTTCCCACATCTTTTAGGCATTCCAGACTCCTTATGAAGAAAAGTTACTTTCAACCATAAAGACTTGGGTTTTGCAGCTAAACTCTGTTCGCATCCTATAAGGGATGAAGCAGAAAAGTTCTTCGTTGTGTGCATTTATCTCTCTCCCTTTTCTGCTATCATTAATCCATTTGCAATTCAAAATGAAGTGAAAGGTCAGGGAACGATACAGAGTGTTTATGCTTGTTACTGCATTGTATACATGATTTTTTTCCACTCTCTTTTCCACTATTACCTGTCGAGTGATGAAATAGTCCCTTTATTCCTCACAATTTACTACTGAGAGAGACAGTTGAGAGAGACATTTTACATTGAGAGAGACAGGGGATATTCAGGAAGGATGTACTACCAAGGATGAGCCACTGGAAGCTTCTTCCATAGGCAGTTTTCCCAGGGAAATAGATGGCAACGTGCTCCATGGAAGAGTTTGTATCCTTGAGTTCTCGAAAATACTTTTTCTTGACTGAAGATACACTCAACTGGGGAGAAGTTACCCAAATACTATACAGAGAAATAATACACTTGGAGGTATTTTAAGTAGCAGAGGTATGTTCTTCCACTCATATGTGAAAAAGAGTGCACTGTTTCTGGCCCTCTGGGAGCTCTGTTACTTGGGAAAGCTAACATCTTTTGACAGAGTGGACTTTTGCACTAAAACCTGCTGTTTGGTGCAAGAGCTTCCAGCTGAAGAGAGCTTGAATGATGGGCTCCTCAACTTGCATCTCTCTTAAAATGCTTTGAAGAGATAATGTACGTGGTAAGGTCCTTTTGTTTTGCTAAAGTATGTAGTCGGGGCTGCAAATGCCATTTGGACTCATTTGGGCACAGTTCTCCTTGACTGTCCTGCACACAACAAACCAGCACCGCAGTCTGACACAGAGTGGAAACCAAAAGCATGGGTGAAAGCAGCTAGTATGAGGTTTCCGATGTGGGAACGTTGCAGAGCATAGGGAATGGCAGTCAATATCATAGCTGAACGGGGGAAAACTAGCCAGGGAGGTTCAAGAGAAGAATGTGTCCAAATGTTTCTTTTTGATAATATACCCCAATCGCTTCTTACTGATCGTTTAGGAAGAAGAGAAGAGGTTGCCAGACTTTTAAAGTCAGTGCGTGTGTCAGTACTTTTCAAGTGGGGTTTGGGAGTGCAGCAGTTCTCCATTGCACATTTGATGAACGCAGCTTAACTTGAAAACCATTGTGCAACTGCCAAGCAGAAAGCCTGGCTAGATAATATTTCCATGGACAGGGAAGCAACCTACATTGTCTTCCTAATGGGCAGAGGCCTAACACATACCCGCCTGTGCTCATGAGGAGTAGGATGGGAGACCCTGGTTTTCTGTTGTGTGAGTATAGAGGTCACTTAACTGTAAGTCATCCTCGTTCCCAGATGGGGCTATTAATGTGTTGATGAATAGAAGAAAAAATAATTTTTTCTTTCTCCAAATCCAAAAGCATGTTCAGGCCAGGGCGCAACAGAGATCCTCCAGAATGACACAGCAAAGGCATCTGGCTTCCTGAAAAGATTTCAGTACCTATGCAAACCTGAGTGGTAGTAGAAGAAGCCTGAAAATATAATGGGATGTTCTTTGCTTGTAACGTACTGCATGATATTGTCAGGAAACATTAAAACCCCGCTGCTGAAGGAGTCAGTGTAGGACTCCATCAAAAAGAGGGGCTGGTGAGTGAGAAATGAATGTAACGAAGGGGGAAACCAATGGCTGACTTGAGGTTAAGCCCCATGGTTCTCAAAATCTTAAGAGAAATGAAAACAGGAATATACTTAACCAGCAGCTGTGGCTAGTGAAATCTATTAGTAGCTGGTATTTAGTGAAGTATTTGGACAGCCGATCTTTGCTGCGAACAGCAGTGTATTTGTGTGCTAGGGATTAGTGCAAGGAGTGTTACCACGTCTGCTCCAGCCCAGAAGATGAGCTAAGCTTTATATACCCTTTCCGTGTGTGTATAGACTCGGTGTGGGTGCGTTACTAATTTCTCTGCTAGAGGGATTCAGCTGCATGTGGAGGTAGGTAGAACCAGGTAAGACCGAGTTTCTATATTTGTTTAAACCAGCTCCAGGTATTGTGGTGTTTTTGTTAGAACCACTGCTTTATCTCTCAGGCAAACAACTTCTAAATTTTTTTTTCTGAAATTAAATCTTGATGGAGGTTGTATTAGAGAGTAACAGACAGGTTTTGTATCTGTAGAGGCTGTACTTCCAGTTCGTTTTGCACATTCGCATCTGCCCAAGCAGTCAAGACAAAAGGCTTTTTCTGTGTGCACCATAACGCAAGAGCGTGATGATTTCTCATCGCTGCAAAGGAGCTGGTGCCCACTGTTCTCTCTCCTTCCTGGCAAGCAAAGACACATACCCAGCACCTCAGGCTTCACATGCCTGATGGTCGCCTCAGCATTTCCCAAGTAAATGCACTCAGCGGTCTTCCGTGCCATGCCGTAATACCGAGCATCAATACAAGAATGAGATCTCCCATTTTGCTGACCTGCCACAAGGACCAAGAGCCTGATGTGTAGGAACATCAGAATATGCTTCTCTCGTGATGTCTTTGTCCCCAAAACAGGAACACTTCTCATCTCCCCTAATTCACTCCCCTTAGCCCTACCCAAAAAGCTTCAGGGGAATGGGGGTGGAGGGGCAGTTAGAGTTATTGAGGAGAGCAGTCTGATCTCCTCCTATTCCCCTAGTAATGCCAGGAGAGCCAGCACCAAGCCTGCTAATAATAAACTCCCATCAGCCAATCTATGCCTTCCAATAAAAGAAGCCGTTATGAATCCTAGTATTAGAGAAAAGCACCAAGTTTCCAGTTTTCCCCACTGGTTGTAGGTTAAAATGATGAAACGTGCTAGAGATACATCTGAGGTTTAATACATGAACTCTTCGAGCTATCTTCAGGAAAGATGATACTCATGATGTTTTCATTGTCTAATTGTCAAGAGCAGTAATCTGAAAGCTGCTTTTTGAACGAGTTTTCTTCTTAACACATACGTTCTCTTGACTGCTGGAGGGACTTTTCGTCCTTGTTGTTTGGGGAAATGTGTAGATGAGGTACTTGAGACTGCATCAATTGCAGCCGATGAAGCTTTAGATTCCATCACTATGCCTGTGGTAGTGTATTGGTTCTCATTGCTCCAAATTTCTGAGTTTCTGAAGAAAAATATCTTCCATCCAAAGAGGATGAATATATTGAACTACAGAAAGGATGAAACCTTAACACCAAAGCAACACTTTAATCTCTGCAAACCGAATTTCCAGCCTGTATCTTGCCTGTTTTTACACATCTTGCCTGTGTGTTGCTGAAGACCATGTGATCTCTTGAGATGGATGGTTCTTCAAGCTCTCAGACTTTCCCTTCAGTGATGCCAAGATCCACTGAGTGTTTGCAGAATGATGTCATTTAATTTGCCAACTCTCAAGACTGATGGTGAGAGAGTACTTCCTTCTTTGGTGATGGAGCTCTCTCCTGGGACTCAGAGGGTTCGGGACTCTGCTTGCCAGGAAAGCTCAAAGGTGGGAATCCGTGCTAGTCCCAGTTACAGGAGTTAATGCAAGTCCCAGTTACAGGAGTTAATGCATCCATTGCTTTGTTCTGGTTCTGTTGCTGCTGTTGGGAGCTTCAGATGCTAGTGGACAGTCTTAGCTGTTTCACACTGATGGGACAAGAATGCCATGGTATATCATGAAGTCTTAAGGGGAGGCTTTTAGGATGGGGTGTCCTGAGGGTAACTTGATCACCACCAAAAAGTGCCTGAAAGTCAAAATTACTCACTGCTCTTGGAGTCTGATGGAGGCCTAAACTTGTTAGTTCCAAGGATCTTTCACAAAGTAAGGCAGG